AATATATTTTATTCTATTTTACATTTTAAAATTGTAAGACTTTTTAAAATTCAAAATAATAACATTTTACTCTATTCAATATACCCAAAATATCATCTCAACATTTAACCAGTATGGAAATTATTAATATAAAATTATTTACATTCTGTAATGTAATTTAGTGTGTATTTTACACTTACAGCATATATCAATTTGAACTAGCCATCTTTCAATTACTTATTAGCCATATAAGGCCAGTGTCTATTGTACTGGACATCACAGAGAGAGGTCTGATCATATTTAGGGTCAAACTTTTGTCAAGAATACTTTGTGAGTGTTGTATTCTTTCATTAGGAGGCATAAAAATGTCTGGTTTTCTCTTTTTGTGCTATTAGCAACCACTGGTGATCATTGTCTTAGATGCATTAGATTCATTAGCAGTTGCAAAGTGGTGATAGTTTAATTCTATTTTCCCTTCTGAATCTTTTCCCTTGAAATATTCCTATATGAGGAACTTCCCATCGTGAATTATTTGGTTAACCTGTGTGTCCAATACATATGGCAAAGGTAAGTAAATGTCTGATTCTTCCTTGTATTTAACAGTCCTTGGAGGGGGAGAGCTGTGTTGAGGACATGATTGTGTTTGCAGTGTGGCGAAGGGGTTGGAGGGCAAAAGGGTGGCTGAAGAGAGCCCAGGTCGCTGGTGACTGCCACCCCCATGGCACGTCCTCGGCCCTGGTCTGTACCCTGTGACCATCACTCCTGCCAGGCCCCCATCCCAGGCTGGATCCCATCAGGAGCCAGGCAGGATGGCCGCAGCCTCCCACCCCATGCAGACAGCCTGCTCCAGTCCAGTCCTGTCCTCTCTCCTGTCCTCTGACCCAGGTGAAGTCCCACTACACCCAGAGGCCCCTCCTGGCCTCCCACTCTCTCTGAGGCCTTGCTTGCTCCTTTCACTGGCCTGTCTTCTTCCTGAACCTCCACTTGCTTCCTGCTCTGGGCTCCTTCCATCAGCATCTCCATGAAAGCTTCCCTCTACTTCACATTCCTCTCCAGCTTCTACCCTCTTTTTCTCCATCTCTTTACAGGAAATCTACTTGCAGGAGTCGTCTGCCCTGGCTGGCTCCGTTCCTCCCTGCTCCCCTGTGCAAGCGGGCTGCAGTCAGGAACTCTGCTGAATGAAAGAATAAATACAGGTTTCTGGCAATTCCCTTTCTCCTGCTTCTCAGTCCGGCTGGAAGCCCTATGCCCACTGTACCCCCTTGACCTACCTATTGGACGCAACTGAGTCCTCAAAGAAGCCTCCCCTGCCGCCCTCTATCTTGGATGTCTGTGAGTCACAATTTATGTGGCTAACCTCATGGACTTTTGACAGTTCTATCACATTCCTGACAGTTACAAAAATACATTTCCCCCACTCTGGAAAGTCACACCACACCCTATAACACAATGCTCATTAAGTGCTGAGTTTTTCCACTCCCTGGGCAGAAACATCCTCCCCATGTGCTCTTCCCCCTTAGAGGGGCTACTGAACGCAGAAAAGCTGCTGCAGCTGGCAGGATGCTCAGATAGGTGGGGCAGAGGGAGCAGGCTGCCAGGCCTTGGGGTGCAGAAGAAGCCCTTGGGATACGTCAGAGCCTGGTTTGGCTCCACTGTGGCCGTGGGATCTTGTTTGATCTTGGGCAGGTTACCCTCCTGTGCAACCCTCTTCCCCCTTCAAGTCATGATGGTTACCACATTGCCCACATCCTCCCATGGCTGTCCTCAGTATCAAATGCTATCACACAGGACCGGGTTGGGACAGGAAAACACTGCACATGTTTGAAGGGTTCCTGCATCACCAGAGAGAGAAAGCAGGCGCCCCAGTGCAGATGTCTGATGGGCAGGGTAGCAGAGGCCCAGTCCCTGCACTGGTTTCCCAGCTGGTGGTGGCTCATTATCACTCAGGTTGTTTACCAAGAATCTGTGATAACCCCTCAAACATACATCTTTTTTTATTGTTAATAAAAACCCAGCTCCACAGGCTCATTTGATCTGCTGACAGTTCTGCCTCTAAAAAAGTCACCAATGACTTCTGATGCTGACTTTGGGCACACTCGGCCATCACAGAGCTCCTGGGAACCAGAGATGGACACAGGGGAGAGTTCCAGAATCTATAGATCAATGTTCTGCTTTATTCTCCACTCATTCCACTCTGCAGAGCACCTGCTGTGCACCACTAAAGGGCTTAGCCAGGGGTGGCAGCAGAGAAGTCAAGGCCACTGGCAAGTTTCTGGGAGCAAAGCATCTGGGCCTGGGATCAGGAAACTTGGATGCTTCTGCTGCATGAGTGGAAAGGTCACATCCCTTCTGCATGTCAGTCTGGGGGTCTCCTAACCTCACAGTAATGAAGTGCAGTCGAGTACCTCACCTAAAGAGCAAGGAATCTGTGGAAGCACACAAAGATGCAGTTTCTCTTAGGAATAAGGTGTTCCCTGTACGTGAATTTAAGATAAAAAAAGTTTTTGCAAGTGAATTTGTGAGAGAACAGAGTTTATTTTAACCATTCTGAATAATATACTCCCTTAAAATATTTTATGCATTTGCCTATCAAACTAAAATTATCCTTTCCCTGATGATGGGGCAGCTACCCTTAGGAACACTATGAACCACTCCAGCTGAATTTTTAAAGCTAGCTGTTTTATTAATTTTTGTTATCTACTTTACAAGCCCTAGTGTCAAGGCTCTTGAGGAGATGGTAGGGTGGTAGCTGTTCTGTTATATACCAGACCCTGACCAGAGGCAGAATGAGTTAAATGGTTTAGCCCCAAGTTCTTCACAACAGCTGGGGAGTGACAGGTGAGGGTCCTCTCCTTTCCTGCCATGCTCTGGGCCCCAAAGCGATCTGAGATGGGTTTTGAAAAATAAATACCAATTCATTCCTAAGCCTAGAGGAGTCTCTGTGCAGGCCTAAGGGAAAACCTGAGCAAGGGGCTGACTTCACTTTTCAGAGGAAACATGGGATCAGAGAGGTCAGGCGCCTTGCTGGGGTCACACAGCCAGCAAGCAGTTGGGCTGGGATCTGAATCCCTCTGATGACTCTTCTGTCAGGCTGAGGGTTCCTCACTCAAGATGTCCAGCCTGTTTCCTTCCTGATTCTGTCTACTGCTTAGAGTCGTTATCCAGTATTTCTGTCCCCTCACCCTCCATTGCTAATTTGCAGCTTGCAATTTGATAGAGACCAAGAGCTTATTAGAATTATGTTTTGTACAAAACCAGAAAGATCTGAGTCTGCCACTCTGTCCTTATACTTCTGGCCCGGGTTGGCTCGCTGCTGCTACGTCACCAACTGTCTGTCTTCCATTTTTATCTAGATTCAGGACCATTTTTTTTCCTGGATTGCTGACATAGCTTCTAAAAAGTGTGGGATTATTTTATAGACATGTAGTTTTTATTCATGTGAAATCCACAAGGCTGAGCTGTTTACCTACAGAACTGTAATTAGATGTGCTAAGAAGGGGAAAAAAAGAAAAAGAAAAAGACAGCTTCTATCTATCTTGAGCAAAATTAAGAGCTCTGAACACCAATCCAGCCTTCCGTGAGGCTGCCAGAAGCTACGGTATTTATGGATGAGGTGGGCCTAAGCCAGCTCATCTGCCAGTTGTGAAGAACAGGACAATGAAGCTAACTAGGCTGACCATGTCTTGACACTGTGTTCATGTCACCCACCAAAACACCTTGAAGCACCTGACATTTGTTTAGAGCTTATTTTTTCAAAAGACCAATTTCAGCTCTGACATATTCTGTTTGTCCCACCAAAGCCTGACATGTAACGCAAGAAATCCTTGTTGAATGACTAGCTCCTCCCAATGTGCATGGTGCTTTATAAAGGTGTTAAGTGCTTTCATAAAAATACTTTTCTCTTCTAACACTGTATCCAACCCTGGGGTGGGTAATTTCCCTACTTGACAGATTCAGAGATCAAGTGGCTGGGCTCAAGCGCTATGACGGGAAACGGGCATCCTTTCTACCACTATGCAGAGGCCTCCCATAGCGCAGAAGGCAACCAGCATTTACGGTGCAGGCCCCATGCAAACATAATGGCCAAGCAGAGTTCTCTCCATTTTTTTTCACAGAATAAGAAATGGGATGTTTGGAAGTTCAAAGACTTGACCAGGGTCAGAGCTTCAAAGTGGCTGAGATGGGGCATTCAGAATTAAGCTTCTAAAGAATAGATGCTGGCTGCACTTCGTACCACACAGTAAATATCCAGTTCATTAATCATTATTTGCCCTCAAAACTTTAGGGACACAAAAATGCACCTCTTTTTCAGACAGACTTTTTCCTAAACAAAATAGGAAAAGAAACACATTCAAGCAGGTACCATTAGGGTCCTGCCTCAACTTGGCTGCAAGTCCTAATTCTGATCTAACCAACGTACTCTTCTTTAAAGCCTGGCAAGGTTGCCTATTGGGTGCCCACTGCATGCATCTAAGCCTCTTGCCTTGGCACCTAAGTCCTTCCCCATTAGCCCTCAGTTCAATTCTCTTCTCTCCTTTCTTCACATCCATTCAGGCCCCAAGTGTGGCAAACTCCCTGCTGTTCGGCAAACACGAGGCCCTTCCTTGCCTTTGCCATTGCCTTTGGCAATGTAAAATCTTCTGTCTTGCATCCATATTACCTGCATGAGCCTTTCCCCATCCCCGAGTCAGAACAGCTTTCTCTGTGTTCCATACAGCACGGCTGCACATCTCTCCAATGTAGAGTTTATCATCAATGAGTTAATTGATTGTTAATATATCTATGCTCCCCACTCCCTCTAGAAAATGTGGTAGAGGTCAAAGCCTATTAATCTTCATATTAACCCTGTTTATTAGCCCAAACTCTGGCAGCAAGCAAGTGAGCTTGCTCAATAAATGCAAATAGCTGGCTGTTTAAGAACAAGCTTTTCATAGTTAACTCAGCTTCAATATGAAATTCAAAACAATGAAGAAGACATGACTCAAACATAGCAGGGAAATAACATACTTTTACTCTCAAAATAAATACTAATCAATTTTATTTTATAAATACAGATGCTGAGTTTTCTTCCAATTACCAACAGATCAGTTTCACATGCCGTTTATTATTGGTGGTGGTTTAAAAAATTATTTAAATAACCAGTTAGGTCAGGATAAATGGGCACCATTAGAATGGCTAAAAAAATATAGCTGGATACAATCTTCCAAAACAAATATTGTGAGGGGGGCAAAAAAATCTCTGGAATTTCTAAAGTAGGTAAGGGGAAGTGGAGAGAGAAAAAACACAATCAAATATTCATTTGATAACACTGCCGGCTGTTAGAAGTGTCTCAGCTACATGAAAACTGAAAGGGCTCTTAGTTCATAAATGGATAGGAGTGAGTTTTCATTTCAGCTTATATCCTCAAAGCAAATTTTCTTTTTTTTAGTGATTTACAAGACTGATTAAAAAGATCAATAGGAGATAATAACTCATCCCATATTTTGGCCTTTGCCACTTTAAACAGAGGCAAGAGGAATTCTGCAGCTTTGATAAATGTCAAACAGAATTATTCCTGAAGACATGTTAATACTATAGGATCTACCTAGGTCACGGTAGAAACTGCAGACATCACACAAACTCAATGAAAACCCAAACTAAACAAGCCCAAACCTAAGGGCTTTAAACCCTAAGCCCAAACCAACTATTGATCAGTTCTAGGCTATGTGATCACATTCATGGCAGGACTCCAGGCTGTGGGATGAAAAGCTGAGAAGCCCAGAATCAAGGAGTCTGACAGACAGAACCCCAGAGTTCCAGGCTCTATCTGGCTGTGGGGAAGCTGAGACCAATGCTATAAGCACGGGTGCTCTCTCTGAGGCCCCTCTGCTTGGGGTGCCAGTATGTAGGGCCTGCAACTGAATGCACTTTGTCTTTGAGGGTGGTGTGAAGTTTGAAGTCCACTCCCGTTATCTTGGGGAACCAGAAAACACAAGTGAATCACCTTCCATTGTTCAATACTAACACAGTCCTCCAAAATCCTCTTTTATGGGGGTAGGAGGAAGATGTTACTTTACTGGAGGACCCTACAGCCCAGTCTGATGATAGACCATGCCTACCTCCACCCTCATGGGCTCTAGAATGAACGACAGTACACTGCAAAGGGGCCATGACTCTCAGATGGCTTCTGCTCCAGGTTTGGAATAGTTCCACCTCTTTCTGTGGAATAAGATGAATTTCTTCAGATCAAGTTAAAGCTTTTAATTGCTTGCAGATTTGAGTTTGTCATGCAATGATTCTGTGAGTTCTCTTGAAATGGAAAATAATACAAACTATTCAACTTAACAATGAAGCTACAGATTAAAATTGAGCCCACGAGTGCTTGGACAAAATATGAAAATGATTATGAAACCTATGAGTTAAGTTGTTATGTAGGATAAATGCAGCTACTGGAAAGTATAACTGCGAGGGTGTCTGCGTTGCTATACACAATATGTACACTCAAATGAAGTCAACATTAGCTTGGATAAGCCAGTTTTGTTCAGGCTAGTCCTGTCATGATGTAACATATGGAGATGTAGGTTCAAGAGGAATTTCGAAGCTGGGGAAAAAAAAATCAGGTCGGGTGAAGTCAATTTTTATTCTTCTACACAATACATGGATATATGCATAAAATTTCCCTAAAGAGCTTGCAACCCTGAGGCGATGTCCTTGGGTATATAAAGTACATAGCAATAGCGCATGAAATCTGAACTCCAGGAAGGAAATTGGACTTCAAAAACATAATTTAATGTTTATGTAATTGCACAGATACCGATAGTCTTCTGTGCCTCATCCAGTCTTCTTAACCCAACTATCTCAATGGCCTTCCACTTTGCACACTGGACAGAATGACTCTCTCTCTACATATATTTCATCATATACAATGCCTTCCTTTCCAACTGAAATTTAATAAATTAACATGGGATTTACATATAAGGATTTTTGTCTGCTAAGTGCACTGCCGGAAAGCACGCCTAGTTTTTGACTGCAGCATCTGCCCACATGGAAACTTTGGGAAACTTTGGCCCCCAAAGGGGACTGCAGGCCATCTGGCTGTAGTAATCTCTCAAGGCTTGGGATCCTTGAGGGTCCCCTGGGATTCACCAGAGGTGAGGTTTTTTATCTAATCTGAGAGGTCAAGGGTTTGGCTGATTAGAGGAGGTGGAAGGTCATGGCTACTGCACTGAAGAACCAGCGAGTCTGATGTCCTCGTTTTCAGGATGCACAACCCATCCACTTGAGGATGGGGCAGCAGACAGGCTGACCAGGAGCCTGGGGGCCTGGCTATAAAAAGACCACTGTGCTTCTGATTCATCAAGCTAGCGGATGGCCAAAATCATTCAGTAAATGGTGGAAACCCTTCTCTGAATATTCAGTTTCCCCAAAGTTATATATAAACTGTGGTGAGGGCAAATGCTTATGAGAAACCAAAGGTAAGTTCATTATATTACTTATATATTATCATCTTCCCTCTGAGGATAACATAAAAGTGTAAATAAAAAAAGCAGACAAATACCTATAAGGTGACTTGAGCTAGAGAGTGACTTTTGCCTTAAAATAATCATCAGGCCTGAAAAGCAACCTTGTAAGCAAACTCTAACTCTGTCTGGCCCACTGATACACAATGATCCTGAGTCCCTCTGCGATTCACAAAGTCTGTTTTTCCGAGGAATATCCTCCATTAATATTCATTTTGTGTCACAATTATTACAAAGGGTAACCAGTGCAGCTTTATCTTCATTGCAGGCAGCAACTCTGTTCTGGTCCTACGGCCTGTTGGCTCACTTCACTTATCAGAACTCCTGCGTGGCCGGCGGAAGCTGGACACGTTTTCATTCAGTGCATAGATCCTTCGGGAGAACTCTTCAAATTCTCCCAGAACTTGGTCATCACACTCCACTGCCACGGCACTGTCCACTGGGATGCAGTTAAATGCTTCTAGCCGATCACCTGAGGTGAAACCGGTGGCTTCCAGCCCGATGATCTCCTCTGCTTGCTCCACAGTACAGCAGAGCTCCGCTTCTGAGACGGGATGGAACTCACCTGGAAGTGGGGCACCAGAGGAGCCGGCCTGCTCGCTGGGTAGGAGAGTGCCATTGACTGCAGCTGGGAGCCCAGAGAGCGCTTCTCCTTGCTCTTGGCTAGTGTTCACACTCACACGGCCTCCAGTTACGCTGTCACCCAGATCTACTCCTTTCTTCTTGTTTTCTTTGGAGAAGTCCAAGGAAGTATCCAAGGAGGAGGACAGAGATGTTTTTCTCTCAGATTCTCCCATCGAGGGGATGGTGGTCACAGGCTGGGCTAATGCTGAGTTGTAACTGGGAGGAGAGGTTTTGTACTGGAGTCTCTCATTCTCTGAGCTGGCCCGTTTTCGGTGTCCTTTGTCTGGTGAAGGGATCCCCCCTGAGAAGCCTGCATCTGCACCCCCAAATATGGAGCTTTGTCTCTTTGGAACAGGGATTGCACTAGAGGTGTGATGTCTGTCACTAGAAGACAAACAGAAGTAAGAAGTTACTTTCCTTCAGAACTTAGCTTATGCCTTCTGGATCCAGAGACAGGAAGCAACATATTTAGGCTTGTGATAATAAAAATCAGTAATAATCAACCTTAGTATTAATTATAGTGTCCAAGTGCAAGAAACAACGTGAAGCCTTCTCAGTTCAATTTTGGAAGCTTCCTTCAAGAAAGACAGAAGACATACTGAAATATATACAGAGGTGAGTACCAGGGCAGAATGAAGGATAAACATCATGTCATCTAGGACAGAACTGAAGTAACTGGAAGGATTGGATCTGGAAAGAAAAATATGCAGTTGACCCTTAAATAACTTGGGTTTGCATCGCACAGGTCCACTTCTATGCAGATTTTTTTCAATAAATATATTTTTTTGGAGATTTGCAATAATTTGAAAAAAAATGTTTTCCTTTCTTTAGCTTACTTTATTATAAGAATACAGTATATAATACACCTAACATAAATAACATGTGTTAATCAACTGTTAATGTTATCACTAAGGCTTCCAGTCAACAGTAGGCTATTAGGAGGTAAGTTTTTGGGCAATCAAAAGTTGTACACAGATTTTTGACTGTGTCAGGGTCTGCATCCCTAACCCCTGTGTTGTTCAAAGGTCAACTGTATGAGGGATGAAATCAACCTCATATTTCTGAAGGGCTATCAATATTCTTTTCTTGTTTTTATATTCAGTTCTTATCTTCAATGAGCAGGCATCCTCATTTGGAAGAGAAATTAAGTGACTCGCCCATGACAACCTCAGGGAGGCAGTGGCAAGGTGAGACTCAAACCATGACTCGTGACTTGATCAACAGATTTTTGGATACCCATATGCTAATTTCCTTGCATTGCAGACCTGGCATAAAGAGGACCATGGAGACATATATATACCTACATTCATTTCAATGAAAAACTAACTTGGGAAATGACTTCCCTTGTATCAAGTTAGTCACACATGTTCTACAATATTTGGTTTTCAGTTCTTTCTTTCAAATTAGAAGATACTTTTTGGCCAGCAATAATAATCATTGCTATACAAAGCATTTTAGTTTCTGAAGTAATTTCACATACATCATTTTACTTGGTCCTCACAAAAACCCTGTCAAGAAAGCAGGGTATATTATTACTCTTAAGACTAGTATCATAAATAATAATTAGTTAATAGAAATCCAAACCGTGGAAATGATGGTCATGTTATAGACTGTGCTAGTGAAGCCACCCTAGAGTATTGATCACACTTTTAGATATTACACTTGGATGAAGCTAGTCAGCTTCACTACAACTATATGCACAGACTAGGTTCAGAGACAGAGGGAGGTGTGAACACATGAGCCACTTGACTTGTGATCTTCAGATGAAGAAACACACACAGAAAAGTAGCTTGCAAAAGAACAAGTACTAGGCAGGAACATAAGCTAGACCGGAAACTATACCCACCCAACAAATAGCTACTACACGTGCCAGGCCTGGGGAGGGGAAACAGATGCAAGACAGGTCAGGTTTGGACTCTGAGGAACTTCCCGTCTTGCAGGAGAAAGACATCTATAATTACTGAAATAGTACAAATTACAATTGTGCTAATACCCTGAAAAGGAAGCAAGCATCTAGGGTTCCTTCTACCTGTGTCCACAGCCACAGCCCTTAAACCAGCTCCCAGCTCCTTCTTTTCTCAGAAGTCTTCTTATGCTGGATCATCCCCGTGGTCTTACACACCTATGCAAGGGTCATTCTTCTGGAGAAAAGGCAGCCCCACGGCATCTAATCCGTGGGCTATCACACTCCCTTGCTTGGCTCAAACTGTTGGTGCTGGTAGAGATTTCATAATTAGGGGTGATCACTGGGGCACATATAGAAACTGGGTGAGTAAACCAGTAAATTACTGTTTTTAGTTTCAAGAAAAACAAAACAAAACAGCAAAATCTGCTGGCCTTAATCTGAGTTTTTCAGTTAGCATGTTGTCCAAATTCATGGTAACTGGGTAAGCTACATATTTTTGCCAACCTTGTTGTTTTCACTCTGCCACCCGCTGACAGTGTTCCTCTCTAGATGATTCTGTAGGGGGCCTAGGTAATCAAACCGAAATAGCATCAGCACCACATTCACTATCTGCCAGGCAGACAGGCCAGGCTTTCAGTTGCCACTCCAGCCCAGGAAGGGTGGGAAGCGCCAGATGAACCAGCCTGGAACCTGAAGTCACATTGCTGGCATGTGACCAGAGGCCAGGTGCTTAACCCCTCAGGGCTATGAAGGGTGAACGACGGACACCGTCCTTGTCACCCCAACCTCACGCCACCCCATCCTGAAGGCACCCTGCTCTGCTTCTCTGCTGTGCTCCAGGTGGGCCAACAAAAGTCAGGGCGTGAGGACTAGCCAGGCAGCACTTACGATGCAAGACGAAAGGGGTTTTTGTAGTCCTCCTCCTCCTTGATTTTCAGACTCTGAAAGCTCTCCCCAGCTTTGCACAACAAGAATAAAGTACGGCACCTCTTCCCCTGACTGTTTTTCTGAGCATCGATAATGTTGCATCCTTACATCTATACCGTGAAAAAGGTTGGCAGATGGGGGGTTATGTGGTTTGTTCAAGATCGCAGAACCTACATCATCTGAACCAGATGCAGTGTGAGTCCAGAGCCCAAGCAGTCTGCTGCATCTCATGCGGGAAAACCACATTCAACTAATTTAATAAGTGCCGACAATATGCCAAATATCAAGCCAAATGCCATTATGTA